ATAGACAAAGACCACTCAGCTCATTGGAGAATCTTACCTGCAGTATTTGAGTGGCAGAGCCAAGAATAAGAGATGTGCTTCATGTTTCTATTGTTTAACTCCAGTATTTTCTTTCTGGTCAAGTGAACAAAATTTAAATTGAATTGAGACAAGCCAAATTTACCTTAGTGTATCCTTTCCAGTATCACACAGCAGCAAATAAAAGAATGTTTTGGAAGTTATAAATATTTATGATTTTCCATAATACCTGCTGGCTGTTAATTAAATCACTCAAAGCAAGCAAAGCTCATATTAACTATAGGTTTTGTGAGCTGGAGATTTATGGAGTATAGTATTTGAAGCAAATAGCACTAGAAAAAGGAGTTTTAGATCAAATGATGTGGGTAACCCAAGGCAGAGGGGAGTCCTCAGGGACAGCCAGATTTTCTTTACAAGTAATGGGCAGAATTAAAGGGAAGAGGTTGAAGTCCATTATTCTGAATTCTATATGCTATATATGCTATGTTAATAGTATTAATATCTCCTATTAATGCTAGAGTATTGAACTTATTTGAATTAATCAGGTGAGATGAAGGGAATAACTATAGATTTGCCTTGGAAATGGAAAGGCAGATGCTAACCCTGAATATGTATTTTTGATAAAAGCATGGCTCTGAGCAGCTCACCTACAACCCAGTGGCTCAGAACAAAGCTAATCCTCTAGAGCTCTGAACTTGGCCCCAAGCTTTCCTAGAGCCATAAAAAAAAGGAAAAAGCTCTGGGATGACACCACTGCCAGCCTGTATTTTCACATATTGCTTATGCTTCCAGTGTTGCAAGACCCTTGTGGCAGCTGGGAGAGGTTTGTGTTCCTCAGCACAGCAACTTGGGCGTGCTCTGTTTGTGCAAGGGCTGGTGATGAGACATGTTCTTTCTGGAAGTTTTTATATCCTTGATATTTGAAGATAAAGATCATTGGCTCTGTTTTGTCCTGGAAATTTGCCACAGCAATAGATTTGGGCATGCTATCAACTTCTGTTCCCTAATTACTGGAAACAGAGCAACTTAAAGCAGCTTGGAGACTACTTGAAATGAGAAAAGTCCCTGATATTGTGTAATGACAAAAGGAGAATAAGAAAGCCCCAAGTTTTGTAGAGACTCCACCCAGATGGATTTACTGATAGGTCAGTGGCAACCCCAACTCCAGTCAGGTTTGGTTATGGAAGAATAACTCAAATAAATGTTGGGTATGCACAAAGAGTTTTGGTTTTGTTTCTGTCCCAGCAGCCTCTCAAACAACTGTTAGACTCAGGGGCTTCACAAAATACTCTGACTGCATTAAAGTCTCAGAAAAATTACCTTCCACATTTTTTTTTTATTTTTTGATCTTCTGTGTAACAGACAGATATTTGAGGATTGGAATATGTTGTAGGAAAAAAAAAATCAAAGATGAAAGATCAGAAGATCTTGGAAGGCTTATTCCTGCAAATTTCTGGTTATTTTGCAAGGATTTTATCAATGTATTGTCGTGGATTACAGTAGCATGAAAAAAGTCTAAAAAGTCACAGATTAAGGTAGGAGCAAAAGTAGGAAAAGAGAAACTGCCTAATTTGAACGCTGAGGTCTCTGTTTTATTCCTATTTAGTTAATTTCTATTATTGTTGCTATTTTAGTTCTGGGTTTACAAACATTTAGTAGGGGAATTTTGATAGGCTGTGATTTTGGAAAGAGGAGAAACTACTGTGCTATGCAGTAAGTATTTTATTTTTATCGGAGAATTCTGACAAAAATGGCCCTTGTCCCTTCAGCACACCTGCACATATGCCTTTAGGACAAACGTCTTTTCTTCCAAAATTATTTTTCTGGTACATATAAATTACACAAAGATAATGTAGGTGGATCAGATAGTTCATATGTTGGATTGCTAATTACTGCTGCCTATTTTTCCATAAAAGGCTTAAGAGGATTGTTTGTGTAGTTGTTTTACGTTACCCCATTGTCCAAAGAGTGCCATGAGAGAGCAAAGTGCCTGGGCTGAAAGCTTCATAATGGCTTTCTTATCAATTTACCTTTGGCATAATTTTTGCAGTGAACACATGTTTAACGAGTATACAATTAAATTTTTATTGTAATTCTGAAGGACTTGGCAAAATATTTAAATAATGTAAAAGATGGAATGAAAATTATGTGTTCTTTAAATCCCTGGAGAAATGAGGCATGTTTGATTTCAAAAAGCACTACCTTTCCACATGACAGCCAAACATATGGAGAGCTGTGTCTCACTTGACATTTTAAAGATTCAGTTTAAATTGTTCTGCAAGGATGGCTTACCTTGTTTTAAAGATGTGAAAGAATTGCCTGTCCAGAGCTTTGTCAAAGGCAGATGTTCTCATGAAATATCAAACCCTTGCATTATTTGGACTAGCACCATTAATATGAAATGATAGTATCCAAAGATTTCATACTAGGAAGAATTTTAAATTTTACATATAGACAGAAACAAAGAAGAAGATTATTTGCCACCAGCAACACACAGCTGCTGCCAGTGTGGATTTTTTCACCTTTATCTCTTATCTTGTTCTGTCTAGAAATATATTAGCAAAGGAGGGCAGTGTTGATGTCTACTATACCAAAGAATAAAAATTAACTCAAGAAATAGCATATGACAAGAATGAAAATAGAGCAACACAAGGGTAATAAATTAATGCAATATTCTGGTTTTAGCTGAAAAAGTTGGGTGAGAAAATGCATATTTTTAAGTGGTCTAATCGGCTGTACAACACTTGTAGCACAAGTCAGCAGCCTAAATGAGCTGTCAGTCAGAATGCTGTTGAAATCTATAGCTTAAAATGAAACAAATTGAAACTGGTATTTTTGAAAGAATATGATTTATTATGTTTGATGTTCATAACATTTGATGTTCATTACATTTGTTGTTCATAAAAACATCAAAATAGTTTTTGGAATTGCAAAAGGGGCACAGTCAAGTATGGAGGCAGGAGAGGATGGGCTTTAAAGAAATCTTGAGTCCAACAGGACTTTGTTTCCTTCCTGTGAGGAGTGATGCCTCACATGGCACTGATCACACTGCTTGTGCCATAAAACCCAGTTCCTGCCCCTGCTGCACTGGTTTTTGTGATCAAAATATTTACATTTATTTTGCCTCAGTTCCTGACTGTAAGAAAGGCAAAATAATAGAGTCTCCTTAATTTCTGTAACTCTGGGGCAGAGAGCCATGCATGGTTTATGGAGGATGCTCAAGATGTTATTAATTACCAGTTACAGATATTTCCAAACTGTGTAGAAGTACCTGGGGCTTTTTTATATCTCCAGGGGAGCACAGGAGAGGGAAACCCCTTCTTGCTCAAGAAGGGAATCTTGCCAAGAAGTTTCCTTAAGGGGTAAAGAAGGTTAAATTTCCTGCTCGAGATGGTTTCTGGTCCCACCCTGCTCATGGGGAGATGATAAATCAAGGGTACTGAAGAGTTACTCTGAGAAGGCAGATACCTGATTTATCAAACATCCTGAGCAAGCTCCTTCAGCAAACTTCACAGGAAGTGACAGGGTTCTGACATCTCAAAAGTATTGCTGCATAATTTGAAACACACCTGTTCATCAGCCACATTCAGCCTTGTGTAACACACCAACACCTTTTGGTGAACCAAAAAGCATTCTGGAATAGCTCACCAAAGCATTCTGGAATAGCTGGTTGTCAGGATGGGCCAAAACAGAGTTGCCCAATGTGATTGATACACTTAATTTCTGCACCCAAATGGTAAACCTTACATCAGATGTAAAAATCTGTTGCATGCCTCAGCTGGTAATTAAAAAATGAAAGAATTTTTTGTGGGTAGCCTGCATTGAAACAAAGGAACCTTAGCTTATTTTGGCTGATGCTGATAACTCTTAGTGGTCTGGTTTTGCTAATCAGTACAATCAAAATGCTGACAAATTTGGAGTGGCAATGCTAATCCAAATGATGTAGCTCAAATCTGACTTCAGCATTGTCACAAAGGCAAGTAGAGGTGGAAAATTCAGTTTTGTTGGCAAAGAGAAAATAGTTTTTTTTATTGAAGGCTGCCAGAAAATTCAAGTTCCTCAGTAGTACAATAGTTTTGATAAAGGAAATGCATGTTTCAGGTATAGAAAAGAGTCTAGTTGGATATTAGTAACATATGTGTTTTCTGTCATTGTAACCATAGTTCACAGGAGTGTAGCATGGAGAAAAGGTGACAGCACTAACTTGGGAATTGAGCTTTTATGGAGGGCTGGACAAATTTCTCAAGGTCTGTTGAGGGAGCCTTGTCAGTCCTTTGCTGCTGACTGTGGTGTCCTCGTCCAGCTGGTGAGGGTTGCTGCAGGGCTCCAGGCATTCCTGGCCCCCAGCACCGAGCCAGGGCTTGCCACATGCTGGGCTGCACAGCTCCACACCCACAGAACACAGACCTGGGAAGGGGGGAGAGTTTAAGGAAATGTTTGTCAGTAAAATGGGACATTTTCATTGCAGCTAGCCAACATAATCAATGTGAACCCTGGTTTTATTTCATGTTAGGCCAAAGCATAAATTCCAGTAGATTAAAAACATAGAGTGCGTGTTATCAATTTCTTTTTTAAGACTTACTAGTTCATGACTAATTATTAACTTTTAGGATGTGTTTGCCTTTTTGATCAGGCTCCCTTAGCATTTTTATTTGGGACAGGAGTGTGCTTTTGAAGGGAATTGCTCCCTCCATTTTTCCCATGTACATGACAGAATGGAGTGGATGCATAAACTGGATTAATTTTGGTTAAAACTAAACAAGAGGTATGTTCCAAAAGTGTGTCTAATGTCCTGCAGATGTCTGTGGCTGCCAGGCCCATTGGCTCAACTGGAGTCAGCATGAAGCACTCTGCCCAGGCAGGTAGTGTTGAACTTTGCAGAGCTGTTTCTGTGTGCTGTGCTGTGTGCCATTGGAGAGCTGGGCACATGAAAATGCAATTTAGGAGGACAACTTCTACCTTTACATCATTAGATTATGTACTTACATATTCCCGTTTTCCCCAGATATTATTCGGACTTCTTCGGCTCCCATGCAGCCTCTGTCTGCATGACCTACTTGCTTTTTCCAGAGAAACTCAACTTTTGAAATGTTCCCAGAAATTTCTGTATCAATGTAGTTCAAGTATGTGTTGCCTGGTTTGAGAGTTCCCCTGCCAGAAGAATAGCACAGAAGTGATACTCAATGTTCTACACAAACGAGGGAGAAAAGAAAACTTGGCTATGGGCAGTAAGGGAGATGAGCTGAGGGGTGCTGTGAGAGCTGGGGCTTTGACTACTGCTGTTAGAATTTTATGAACCTTTTTTTATAGATTTGATGAAGTTCCTGTGCCTTTCAGGATGAAAAAATACTTATCAGTTAGCACAGCCTTTGTCAGTATTGCTGTGATTTATTCTATGCATTACTTTTGAAAAATAAAATCTTGAAATAACTTCAAGTCAAAAAGTTCTCTCAGTATTTCTGGTTGCTCTCAACCATGAAGGAAATTGAAAATTATAGTTTACATTTGTGCCTTCTGTGCTATCACTGTTCACTCTACCAGAACACACACCGCAATGTGACATTAACATTGAAATTATCTGTGGGTTTATTGCTGCAGTGGTATTTATAACTAAAGGTACTGCTGGCACAGACCAGTAATGGGGCTGTGTTCAAACACAGGAGGTTGGTTTTGTAATATTGAAGCTGGGTTGCTGACCAGCATCTGTTTATTGAGATTTAAATTCACATTTACTGGAAAAGGCCAGGCTGAGTGGATGGGAATCCCATATTCCAGCACAGTTCATGGGCAAGCTGCAACTTTCTTATTCACATATTCCCCAGAGGAGGGGATAATCAGATGCACATCACTGAGCTCTTTGTCTTTTCAGAGATCACCAAATCATGTCTGAGTCCAGCAGCAGCCACAGAGCTCTTGTCCATTTTGCTATGCTAACATCAGCCTCAGAAAACAAAAGAAAATACAGAGCAAGAGGGACCAGCAAACATATTTTTACCACAGTCTGCAGCACAGGGAACTTCCAACAATTATTAGCTGCTTTTTTTACCAGTGTAAATCATAGACCACAGAGAACAAGATGACACATGTAAAATAAAGCTGTGTATAAATTCCACATGCTAAAAGCAATAGAGCCACATTTCCAACAGCCACATTAAACTTACTTGTCAATGGTATATTTTTTTCTGAACCCATTAGTTCCAGTCAAGGCTATATCTATATTTCCCTTCATGGTTTCTGTTGCACATACTTTGACATGTATCTCTTTTCGCCAGCCTTGGAAAGCAAAATCAAATGGATTACAGTTGTAAGGAGATTTCTTTCCTAAAGGCTAAATTTCTTATATGTTTCAGTGTCTCTAAGAGAGAGAAAAGGATTGCACAGACACACTTTTAAGCAAAAAATACTTGTGATAAATTGCAGTTCATTTATGAATTTTCCTGTTTCCCCAGTCCTGTGTCTATTTCTACATTAATCACAACTAAAACTGCATTTCTTATTGCTCCCTGCCATTTTGACTTGATGAGCAGCTAAAATATCCTGAAATGCTCCAGTTTTATAAATTTTGCCAATAAAAACAATACAACATTTTAAAATTTGAAATTATGGACTTCCAGCAAAAAGTCCTCCCTGGTTCCAGCTTATATAATTTTTGAATCCATCATGTAATAACCAAGTTTAACCCAAAGGTGAGCATCATTTGATCTGTTTTTACAATTATCTCAGCCTTCCAAAATAATCCTGGTACTGCATGTTCCTAACACCTAAAATTCTAGATGTTTTATTGAGTGTAACTCATTAACTGCAGCAGCTCTGCAGAAGTGTAAAGTCCTTTTTCACACATAATTCGTTGCCACTTTAGAATACACCACAAAATGAGCACTTACGAGCATATGGAGGGGAGGACCCTGTGTTTAAATAAACTTTTTGATGTTCTTTTTCAGTTTTATGTAAAAACTTATCAGCATAATGACCCATCAGCGGGCATCCTTCTTCTGGACATGGAAAGCAGTCTCCCTGGGGGGAATATAAAAATGTGCCTTATAAGATATCATCTATTTTAATCTCACTTTTTAAATTTTAGGAAATTAGGATATTTCGGCTTTTTCCTTTTTTTTTTTTTTTTTTTGTTTTTTTTTTTTTTTTTTTTTTTTTGGTTTGGAGTTTTTTAGGTTTTTGCTTCTCAGTTCAGATGACATCTTCAGTATTTATCAAAGTGGCTGAAAAAGGAGTTGAGGTGGTCAGTCATCTTATTTCATCTTGTTGAAAATCAGAGAGAAAGAGGTTGGAAATATGATCTAATTATGACCTAAGACTTATGGTCTTGCAGGGACCATAAATAAATACCATAAAGAGTGTTGTGCCTTGCTACCTGGTCTGTAAAATCCAGGTAATATATTCATCTTTTATAGGGTCCGCTGGAAGGTTCTCTGCTGGTTATAGCATGGTTAACTATGTTTCCAAGGGAGTCTGGCTGAATATCTCACTCATATGGTAAAAATATTTATGTTTAGGAATACTGGAATTTAGGAATTTAGGAAGGTTGGGCTTTCCCGTCACACTGTGACATGAAATAACTCACACATGCACACTAGATGAAAAAGAGGGAAGAAAAGAGGAAATTTATTTCTGACTCAGCAATATACAGAATTCTAAAAGTAACTGTGGATTGGAGGATGAAATTGCCACCTCTCCAACCACACTGGTCAAACTAACAGTCCATCAATTCTTTCCTCCTACAAAGGAGAATGCAAGACAATCATTGTTTATATGAACAGTGTGTGAGAACTCCAATAGAAATATATAAACATCCAAAGGCAAAAAAAATTTTAGAAGAACTTTGAAACTTTTAAAATAACAAAACAATACTTTCCATTTGGGATTTGTTCTGTCAGCCCTTTATCCTTTATTCCCATGCAGAGCTTTAATGAATTTAATCTATCTACACAGATCAGACTTTGACATCCATTTAAAAAAGGTAAGAAAAGATAAGCATGAAAGCAGATTAAATGCAGTGGGAAAAAATAGCTCTGCTGTGTTTAGGTAGTTCAGTTTTGATATGTGGGAGGTTCTGCTCAAACTGGTATTAATGGACCTTTGGCTATTTATGTATTTGATGAAAAAAGGCTACATGATCATCATCACTTCTCTGTTGTGAAATTGTTTGGGTTTGGGGACGGTCTGAGTGAAGGTGCTCAGTGGTTCTGAATGTGCCCATATCCCCTGAGCCCAGTGTAGAACTTGTCCCAGAAATTATTAAAAGAAGAAGGGCAGGGCTATAGAGCATCAGATAAATCCATACCTGGTACTTACCAACACAAACTGTCGGTATGTGTCACACTGATACCCCACAAATCCATCTGGAGTGATGATGCTCTCAGCATAATACCTGAGACTTCTTTTATGTGCACATCCAAAAGATCCATATGCTGAGCAGAAAAAAAAAAAAACAACCCAAAAATACCCCAACATGTAAAAAAGTGATTAAAGCAATACATTAATGTAAAGTCCATGTCAAAGAAACATTCTTGGGTCTCTTTTCCTCAAAAACACTTGCATATTTAGTGATGTCTCAGGTAAAATACATAGCAATGATTAAAAGACATTTAAATTGTGAATTATTTGGTTTTGTAGTAAGACTGTGTACTTATGCCTACATATATTATTTTCTGTTGGAAATAGGTAGTTTTTAACAGAGGTGGAGATGCACAAGGTGAAACAAGAAGCATTTGGGAGTATTTACCTTTGATATTTTAAAGATTAGAATATTTCATAGCTACGGTTTTTGTAAAGCATACAATAGTTACAATGAAGTAGTTTTCCTTACAGTTATCACAACATGGTATTCTGTAAAATCAGTTTCCACTAATTTCTAGAATTAAAGGTAATTTTAGCAATTATTATCAATTCTGTGGCTTTTGGTGTTTTTAAGCACTAGGAAATCTGCAGTCATTTGATAGCAATTCTGTGAAATCCTCTGGAAAGCAGGATATTTGGCAGTGTGTCCTTGATTTTGTTAGAACTCTTTGAAGCAAGTACTTTTTCCCATCAGACTGAAATTTATAAGCAGCCAGTAAGGAAAGAAGAAAATGCTATTTGGGTTATATTTACATGTCCCTTACAGCAAATGTTGTCTTCCTTGATTCTGAGGTCTCTTCTGTATCAAAAATCCATATACTAAAGTTAGATTTTTTTGTATAAAAATGGGCTTTATTCCACTTCAGCATGTGGTGGGGACTCACAAACCACAGGGGAATCTGCGAGGCACTGAAGTAGTTGCAAGCTATCACAGGTTGTAATGAAAGGAAAATTTCCCTTAATGGCAATATTTATGCATCTTAAAGATAGACCAGCCGGTGTTGACCAGTTGACACATTGTTCTTTCCATAAGGAAAGAAAAGAAAACCCACATTAAAATCTCCCTGAAAAGCACTTGTTGGCTGTTTTTCTTGGAAATAATCTGCATCATCAAGGCTTCCTGATTATGTTTTCTTAGTAGCTCCTTCTTTAATTCAGAAGGGTTTGTGCTTTTAAACCCTCAGCTCTTACAGCTGGCTCAATTTATGTTAGTGGCAAATTCACTTAACACCTATAGTCTTTCTACTGCATCAAAAAACTATAGGGAAAAAGTCACTAAATATTATTTCTAAAGCACTTCATGCATAAAACCACTACAGAAATGTAAACATTAGCAAACAATAGAAAGGTTACCAAAGTAAGGTTTAACCCAGAGGAGGGAGTTAAGGCTGTCTCTATTTTTAAGATCTGCTTCAACAACCAACTCCATATGCTTGTATTCAATAGAGATGAGTTTCTCCTTCAAGACAAAACATTGCAAAGAAACTTGTGAAATGTCTCTGGAATTTTTTTTTTTTATTTAAATACAGACATTTTTATGCATTCAAATTGGAAAGTGTTATTGTTCCAAGTGACTTTGGCACAGCCAGCTTTCAGTTCTCTTTGTTACTTAGTTCTCAACCAGTTGTAAGGGAGAGCATTTTTGAAAGCAAATTATTTAACTAGTGGTAGGGATTTCAAACCATTTAGCTGTGAATAACAGATGTTCTCATTTCTGTAGGTTAGGATCAGAAGACAGGACTTTGTGGATCTATTGTAGTGGATCCCGGGGTAATTCTGATTAACTGCCCAACTTCCTTTGAAGAACTACTAATGGAGCAGTCATTTTATAATCTTTTATATTTCTGACCTTGGGCTGTTCCCTTTGAAGAGACTAAAGCTTGATGGCATGCATGAATCCCACTAATATTGGGAGTAGTATCTTCCTAGGGAGAAGGAGAGCTGAGATTTTAAAATACTCATTTTTGGATTATCCATTAATGAAATTTTACTGGTCCTTCATGTGAAGAATTCCCACTGAGGTCAGCCTCTCAGCACAGTGATAGGGTCTTAGAAAGCTTGTGATGCACAATTTTGCATACTTTAACTGAAGTTTTCATCTAGAATTTGCCTTGTTTAGTACAAAAGAAAATTGGAGGGTATTTCAGAGACAGTTTAATGTTCTGTTTTTGAGCATTGTCTCCTTATTCCAAATCTGAGCTATATATAGATCCTACCTTATCCTAACCTTTGTTTCTAACTTATAGTGAGGTATTGTTGTAACCTATAATGAGGTATTTCTTCTTTAAAATATATTTACCTCTCATCAGGTCATTGATATCCCGGGTTGCAGGAGGTACACGAAGCTGGCTGCATCCTGGCATCCTCTTCCCACCATTTGGGTAAAAATCCAGGTGGCCACAAGTCTGAAGAATCCCTGGAGCTGAAATGCACAATAGATTCTGGCAGATCACTCCTAGGTGTTCTGTAGCCAACCTGTGTGCCAATAGCAGCCTTTAAATGAAAACTTACCAAAGTCAAAGAAAAGATGACCAGCATGAGTATGAATTATATCAACAAATTTTGCATCTGAAGGATCCAGCCTAACCATTGTGGGAGTGTACTGGAAAAGGGGCCCAGCTGGATCCAAACCTAAATGAATGGAGATAATGAGTAAATAATGCTATATGTATATCACCACCTACAGGTTATGTATGCTATATATGTGATTACATTTCTGCCTTTACATCAAAAAAAAATCCATTTTGTGGTCCACAGCTAAAAAATAGGCAAGGTATTAATAGAAAGCTGCCTGAAGGTATTGGAGCACAGTAAAATGCTGATGGCTGCTTGGCTTACTTTTGGGAACAATGCTATAAGAAGAGATTTGGTTTATTTGGATTCTTTCATTATTTTATTGAAAAATATGAAATCTTCATATGTTTCTTTGAGCACATAGATTTATTTATGAATTTTTATTTGGCAAGAAGGCTATTTTTATTTCCAGAATATCTTGGTTGAAAATGGTATCCCTTCACTTCAATGTCAGTGAGGTCTCTTTGGAGATAAAGAAACACAGCTCTGACCCCAGTTTCCCTGAGTTGCTCATGTGACTGCTCACAGTGCGCATGCCTTAGACAAAGCAATGTCTATGCAGAGAAAATAACTGACTGGGGGAGAAGGAAAGCATAAAATAGTGAGTTTTTAACAAAAAAAAATATATGAATGTGTCATGCCTTGTGTGCCACCATGCTGGCTGGACACCGTTATTTATGACAAACCAGCAGATTGCATTCTGTATTGTGTTTACAAAGCAGCAATGATTCTTCAGTTCTCTTAACTTGTGTGAAAATGTCAAGTTTTATCAGCTGAAATAGCTGCAGTACCTGTTATTCTTCCAATGCCAGGCTTCCTCCTCCCTGCCTCCCCTGCAACGTGTGCTCCAAGGCTGTGGCCGATGAAATGGATGTTGGCAGGAGAGTAGCCGTATTCTTTCTGTGAAGGTTTATGGAAAGGAGAAAAAACCAGTGTGGGTATACAAGCCAGTGACACTGCAGCATGTCCCCATGAGTGCTAGGACATGGCCAGGTAACTGGGCAGTGAAGATGAGTGTCCTGGTGGGATGTCACAGTTCTGGGTGATGGGATCTCCACTTTAAAGAGAAGCAATTCCCCAGTCATCCCTCTTCTCTTCATTTTTAGGCTGTTCATGGCTATTTACCATCTTATCCCACTACACTAAAACTAGGGGATTTAATTTTTCATTTCAGATTTTCAAACCTTTTGAACTGCTAAAAAGTCATGTTAGTTTTTCAAAGTCAATTATGACACTAAAGCAGGTATTTTCATTTGTGTGGGATTAAAGCCCTTCGATAACATACTGGGTATTTCTTGTTCTTCCTGGCTCTATTGAATTAAATCTAAAGGTGCCACTTTGACCACCACGTTTTATGTGGACTGTGCACATTCCAGGGATATTTTTTTACCTCGAGGAAGTTCACCAGGTACTCCAGCTCAGCCCCCACAATGCGGACGTTGTTGACGGCGTCCGTGTACAGACCACTGGAGCCGTCCCTCCAGTCTGTCAAAATGCAGTTCACATCTTCAGAGTGAAACATGAACTGGTGGAGAACAGGAAAAGAGCAGAGAAGGGAACAGGCATTAATTACAATTGTAGCAGGGCATATGTCAACTGTATTTTGTTTTGTTTCTGTGACTGGTGATGACACATCTCTAGGAATTCCTACTGATTCTCAAGATCAACACAAGGAGGCAGAGTGGAACCAGAGATTAGAGGACACTCACAAGCTTCCTTCAGCTTTTTTTCCATTCCAAATGCCTTGGTTGGCTCTAAGATACCAACTTCTCTTAATTACAGTACCAAAATAGGTCCAAGCTTTATTCTTCCTTTTTTTTTTTTTTTTTTGCTTACATCATCTAAAAGAATTCTCAAATTTGTGCTTGAATTGTTCAGACCTGAAATTCACACATTATAACAAAAATATTCTATTTAAGCACTTCTGCCAATAGAACTTTCTGATTTTGTATTTTATTCTGAAACAATTTCATTTTTGAAATGTGCCAGAGTGGAATGAAACCAATCTGCAGAACAAAGCCTTTTGGTTTTATTAGATCAAATGTGTCACTCAAACTGACACGCTTATTTTGACCTTTTGCTGAGGTGAGAAAACTCACTCTTTCCCCCCCACTTTATTATTGGCAAGGAATTGAAAAATCAATTTATTATGGCTTTCCCTGTGGAGGTGAATGCAGCAAAAGGGCATTAAGCAGAAAGCTGAAGTGCACTGTACTCATAGGCAGGAACAAGACAGTGGTTGTGTAGGACCGGGCTTCGTTCTGACTTTTGTGCTCCTTACATATCCCCTGAATTAATGAGAGCACAGAGGTGTAAATTTTACATGGGGATTTTAATCCAGATGTGAATATTTAGACTTTCAAACACAAGCCAAATGATGGTTAAACACTAGTTGTACCCACCCTGCATATGCTTGTTATCCAGGGGAGATCTGCTCCAGCAAGGTGGCCGTGTATAATGAAACGAGTTTTCCTGTGCGCCCGGAAATTCGAAGCTTTTATAGTTGAAGGATTTGTAGCTGAAATTCTCTGTGCCAAAAGAACCAAACAACCAACAAACACAACAAGGATGTGACTGTTCCATCCCACTGTACATTTTGATAAAGGGCAGAGTGCCCCAATGGTTAAGGCATAGTTCTAGACCTAGAAGAGATGGGTCTTATTTCTCATTCCTAAACTGCCTTTTGAATTTCAATTAATCACTTAATCACTTCAACAAATGCTTCACTTCCTCTGGTTAACTGAAGTAATGATACTGGCATCTTCTGCACAATGCTTTGTGATATACTGGTACAACATGCCATGCAAGTACAAGATTTTATCTAACTTGGCAATAGAAATGCAAAGATAGCATCTTCTGCAAGGTATTATGTGGTTGACTTTGAAACTATAGCTATTTTTCTTTCTTTTTTCCTTTGAAGATAAGACCTTAATTGCTTCATTTATATTTTATGGGAAAGCCCACCAGGCTTATAAATTCAGAGGCTGTAGGTATTTTGGTGTGCATTGAGAAAGAAGACATTATTTTCTTTTAAAGAAATTCCGAGTACTAACTCTTATGTATTTTTTGTTATGGTTTTGTTGATTTAAAAGGGGGATGTCATGCACTAACTAGCAAACATATCACCTTCAGTGAAAGACTGATTTGTTAAAACCTCATAGACCCTCTCTGCTGGAGGAGTTGGACTTGTTCTGAAGTGACTTAATAAACACCTCCACTGATTGTGACTGCCATTTATATAAAACCCTTTAATTCTGAAGCCTTTTACGTGCAATAACTTGTGTTAGAGGGCTGTGATTAATATGTTGTAAATATACCTGGCTCCTCAGGGAGCTGAAATGAGGAAAAAGGAAAAAAGATGGAAGAAAATTATCATGTGTCTAATATAGAATTGGAGGTTCTCCCAGCAGTCATGTGAGCAAAATATGTGAGAAAGGAAACTGTTCCTACAATTTATTGAATGTATTGTACACTGTCAGTATTTAAAAACAAAGCATTTTCTTACTTGGTGTTTCACCATGTTATCTCTGGTGTAAAGAAGGAAATTTGTGTTCACAGCATCTGGAGAGCTGGGCAAGCCTGCCAGTTGTCTCCCTGGGATCCCAGCCCATGGGGGGCTGTCTGAAAAGCATCCAAGCCTCTTGTAGCAAACTTCCCTTCCTGGGGCGCACAAAGAACAAGAGATTTGTGTTCTGGACATGTCACAGATTCTGTACCCGAAGCTGTCAGGAGAGGGTTTACACCAGGAAAGCCAGACAAGCCTGATTTGGATAAGGATGGAACTTCTGAGCATTTTTCATTAAGTTGTGCTTGGGTGTTTGCAGCAAGGACTTGAACTTCAGGAGTGCTTCCTGCTGCAAACAGAGCCTGGAGCTCAGCCTGGTGAGCTCAGGATCTGTTTGCTTGAACATGTTGTTAAACACAGCCCTTGGAAGAGGACAATAAAATCTTGATCCAGGGAAGAAATCAGCTTTTGCTGTCAGCACAGAGTAGTCCTTTAAATCAGCCCTAAACTCCAGGGATTATCTAAATTGTTATTTCTTGTGCAACAGCTCATAAGGGAGCAAAAAGAAACGAAAACATTAAAAGAAATACTTCTGGTTGGTCCACAACAGGCATTAAACATCTCCCTTATTTTTTTCATCACCATAAGATTTTAATGGAAGCAATAAAGTGGAATTTGAGTGGAAGCTTAGAGCAAAGCACAGCCTCAGGATGTGTGGCCTGTGCCTGAAGGACCAGTTTCACAATTTCTATTGTGCCTTTAATACAGTAATGGTGCAAATATGACATGCAGGTGTTGCCATTAATTGTCATCATTCCACACTGTTATAGCACAACAGTTGTGAAATCCCAAGAAATTTTTATTGCTATTAAAAAGTCCATTCTTTCTTATCATTAAAGAGGTATTTTGGTCCAAGACTATGTTCTTGTTCCCTGCGTAGCAATGAGAAGAGTAGGTGCCCAGGCTCTCATTATCAGGGTTGTAGCTACCATGAATGAGTTGAGGGTAGGAAATGTTCTGGAAGAATTTCAGTATCAATTTGCATATAAAAATACCTTTCTGATTCCCATTTTGTTTACTAGCTACAAAAACTTTTACAGAATTAAAAAGTAATGAGTTAAATGTGGGAAAGACATGACATGACTCAGTGGACCTAATAAAGAATTATGTTAAATGCATCCCAATGAACAGGTTTTTTTTCTAGAATATAGATATCCTAGTATAAGCTGCACATAAGTTTTACTCTTTATAGAATTCATTCATTATATGTCTCACCTCTGGCTGCATTGAGAAGAAGAAGAGTAATGATCCATACTGCAAGCATCTGAAGTGCATAAGAACACAATTCAAACAAAATTGAAATTAGAATCTGGAATTCACCTAAGGGTTCTTTTAACCCCTCGAAACTCAGTACTTTGGTAATTTACTGAGTTAGATCCAAAAAAAGCAGCTCTTCCTCAAAAATAGTAAGGTTTCAAAAAATAGCTTTGGGATTATTTCTGTTTGCCATGGAGATTTTGCATGATCAGGATATCCTTTAGGAATCCTTAAAGATCATCTTCCTGTCCTTGACAAACAGAAATATTTTTTCTCTGTAGAGCTGCAGTTTATGGGCATGCAAATTAAATTCTTACAGGATTTGCATCAACACATTACTGCCTGAAATTTATCCTAGGATTTCATAGAAAAGTTACTCACAGACCTGCCATCAATGATTGCATTAAAAAAAAAAAAACAACAGCAAAATTAACTTGTGCTTATAAATCATATAGATGGTCTTGAAAACTCATTTTGATCACTGCTATCAGCCATGCATGCTTATCAACCCTTATCTGCCTGATCACTTAATCACCAGCTGATAGGCAAGCACAGGGGTAAATGGAACCCATCATTTACTCCAAGGTGGAGCATGGAAAGTACAGTCTCACTACTACCATGAGTGTATATTCAAAGGAAAATAGATAATTCTTAAAAAATCTAATGTCATGCCCAGATCATCTAACCAGTGTTGCACAGGCAGAGCCCTGCATCCCCTGAAATCCATAACACACTGTTAGGAGCAAAGAGTTCATCCTGTGAAATCAAGTGCAGGTCCAAGAGCGTCCTGCTTCCACCTCCTCTCCTCCAGCCACTCACCACACACCTTACCCCTCATCACCATGATCCTTATTTCATTTCCTTTAGATGTTCTTGGCTCCAGAGCATCCCATTTTACCTTGGCAAGGCTCAGAGCAAGTTCTCAGGGTCAACCTCTCAGTTGCTCGTGGCAAACCTTGCAGAAGCTCTTTGAGGAGCCTGGAGGGAAGCAGGAGAGCTCTGTGCCTGTCCTCCAAGGACACGTGGCAGAGGGATGCTCACCCTCTGCTGCTCCACAATGCTTGGATTCCCAGTTGCATCTGTGGCTGTGTTGGGTAATGCCAAAAGAGATCTCCCTCTGTCAACCTCCATCAGAGATAACGCCGACCAGGTCCGACCAGTTGCTGTGTGACTCCACCCACTTAATGCAAAGTTTCAAACAGGCTGTTATTGTCCTCCATTGGTTATTATTTTTCAAGCTAAAAATTGCTGGGAAGTGTGATGTAAACACTGAATAAACAGAAAGCCTTTCAGGATCACCTCGGTGCGATGCTGAGTTGAGATCGTGACTTGGGCAGAGCCCCCATCCTTTGTATTCCAGCCCTCAGCTTTGCTAGCAAAACTAATCTTCCTGGAACTGATCCCTGTCCTTAATAACTTACAATCTTAGCAAAATTCTCAAATTTGTGTTTGATATCTAAGTCTACTGTTGCAACATGAAGACACACACAAAGTGTTTTAGGATGAGCTAGCATGTGTTTGTAGGGTTCAAACTGTCACTTGAGAAAATACAGAAAGAAGTATGAAAAATTATAAAAAAATTAAATGGCTTAGGCTGTCACTTGTTGTTTGTTCATCTTGTAGATCTCTTATCTCTAATTTTGCTACCAGATGAATTACCTGACTTTACTTTGAAAAGGTGACAGAAATGCTTTTAAAGAGAGGATAATAGTTCCTGGGGCAGATTGTCACCACATTCAATCACCATGAATCTTCATAATTAAATTGTATTAATTGCAGTAATTTTATTTTTTAGTGTTTTGATAATGATGTCATTTCACATAGTGCTATATTGTTGTTATACTATTATATTCACGTTTCTGATCAGAATTCCCTAGAAATCTTTCTTCCTGTAGGTGTATGTGGGGCTTCTCCTACCTAAATGATTCCATAGTTCTGTGTAGCACAAATGAGAAACCTGCATCTCCACATTTTAAAGTTAAACCCTTTAAGTAAAAGGGTGACTACTGACACCTCCTAAGACAGGGGTGTACAGGAAGGGGAGACTCCCTTTTGGTATAATCCTTTCCACTGACTGATGAGTTATTCCATATCTAGCACACACAAATATGAACTGGGTTAAAGTGATTCTTACAAATGCTAGGTACAAAAGCATTTTCAAGGTTTTCCATTTTTTTTTTTTTTATAAAGCTGGCCTTGAAAGGTTGATTTATTCAGCTGTATATTATAGAAGCAAATATATGTTCCAACTCTGTGTTCCTAATAGAAAATTAAGAATCAAGGCTAGTATGGAGTTCAGGAAGTACCTATTCATCCCTTCAAGACTAAGTTAGTCCAGTAAAGTTTTAAATTAGTCACATCAAAATTGAGTTCTCCTCTGCTCAGATAATTAAAGTCTGTTGCTGGGTTGAAAACAGTTAACCTGTTACCCACAGAAGTTAAGTAAACAAAAATGAAGAAGTGTTTAAAAGATGCACACACAAAAAAAATCTGCTTCCAAGTTAGGTCATCCTGGACAAAACTGGCTTCAGTGATAGTGACTAGAACTCAGAACTGTGATCTGTGGTATACTCAGATCTCTGATAAAGCATCACATTTGAAAGTACTTAATGATTGTTTTTTATATCATTAAAAATTCATAGACAAAGAAAGATTGATATGTTAGAATTTAAGGGCCCCACAGAAAATGAGTATCCAATTTTACCTTCTGATTTAATTCTATTATATATCATATCAGACCAAACCATCATTTCATTCCATCCTCGCCATTTCTTTACATTTCAGCAGGTATTTTAACTGAACAAACAGGTCACTAAAACTTATAAATTAACCTTGTTGATTCAATAAATTATTCTTGAATAATTTGAATTCTTAGGTTTTACCTATGCAGTGTATTTTGGTGCATATGTTCTCAGGGGAGCTCAAGGAATGTGAATAACTCATTACATTAAGAGGCCTTTCTCAAACCTGGTATTATAGTCCCAAACCACACCTGAACCCTCTTCTGCAACATGGACTCAACTGCAGAGTTGTGCAGATTTCAGATCACTTGCACGATTCAGTGACTTTGCCAAGTTAAAATTAAAATAACAAAATATTAAAGGGTTTTAGATTTTACCTAAGATGAGGACATTGCTGCCTCACATCCTAGGTGTAAACGTGTGCTATGCAAGTTTTACAGATTAATTCCAGCCAACACTGAGCATCAAATGAAGTTTAACTTACCCAGGCTTTTCTCAGAGCACATGAAGTGATTCTTTAGGGATGTTCTTGCTGCCTTTCAGCTCTCCACAGCTCTCCTCCAGTGTTTAAGACAAGGTTACTGGGAGAGCAAGGTATCCTCATATATATAACAAATTAGTCAGAGGATTTACTCCAGCTGACAGGCATGAAATGGGTTTTCTATGCTGGTTTACTAATACCAGGAAAGCTCATAGTTCAGCAGCATTGTCAGATGTCAGCACTTCTGTGTTGGCTTCTAGAAATCTTCGCACTTTAATGGGGTTAACTGCTTCAGTATTAGCTGGGACCTGGGTAAGAGGCAGCAAGCAACAAAATGTTCACTCTGCAGCCCTTAGAAGTGCCTGAGGGTTTCTCATCCATGAGCTTGTCCAAGCTGTCCCTGAGCTCCTGCACAGCTCTAGCACACCCAGCATCCTGTACCAAGCACTTTAATTGTGCAGCTGTGAGCAGAATCATCTCCTTTCCTTTCTCTTCAGCTGTGCACTGCCAGCTTCATTTCATGCCCCCTGTCACTAGGGTGGAAGGAAGTGAACAAGGCATTTCATTTTTGCCTTCTCCATGATCCTCTTCTTTTTATAGATGGCATTCATACCTTCATCTCTGTTCTTGGCTGACTTCTTATATTTAATACTTTCTGTTATATGCCAACATGGGAAAATGGTTGCTTATTCCATCAGGCTGGGCATGATGGATGTTAGGATTTTGCTCTCCATTACCAAAACCAGTAAGGAAAATTCCTTCTGTCCTGAAGTTTTATCAATGATTGTGTTTTCATGAGGGATGAAGTGGCTAAATGTGGAAGAAGGTTCTTTCTGCAGCTAAAATGCAGCTTTGTGCCTTCTCTCCTCAAATCTCTCTTCTTTAGCAATATCTGTAATCATCTTACACGATAATATCCTACAATTAAAAAATGGCCTAATAGGGATAATTCAGGCAAGTTATTATTCAGGGCTGGTTATTTTATTTATTTTTTTCTTTTATCTCAATTTTAATTGCACCACTGTCAAGTCTTGTATCTAGAGAATAAATTTTCTGGGCAGGAACCTGCCTATCTGTGCACATTGCAGGATGTATAATTCAGTTTAGGGTGTATGAATAATGTGTGAATATTATAGATAGTAACAGTAATGTAAAGGTCACCTTTTCCAACATTTCAGTTGTAACGAATTTGAATGAAAAAAATCTTAAATACCAGAAAGTATTTTTCAATTCATCCCAGTCTGCTTGGCTGCTGAAAAAGTTATGAAGGGATTGTTATTCTTTATATTTGCTGTGCCTTTCTTATGATCCAGCTTCTAATACTTTATTGATGCCAATCCTGATGGGGTGATTCATAGAGTAAAATACTTCTTAGCTAAAGAAGGATAACCAAATGTTAAGTTCCATTTACTTTGTATTTTAATACCATCTAAACTAACAGTTGTTGCGTGAATTATTTGTAACTTTCATGCAAGTCCAAATCTTTTTCTGATTTACATGGAGTAAGATCTGAAGTCTGTGTCTTAATAAAGAAAATATATTTATTCCTGCAGTTAAGTCTTAGTTTTCATCATAGAGAATTCCTGGTGAATTAGCTGGTCATCATTTCCTTTGATAAAACATTCTGGTGCCCAGTGCGTATTCTGAGGGCAATATTGAATTAAAAAGTACAAAATAGGGACCCTAAGGAATATGATACAAGCAGAAAATTTTAAATCTCCTGCAGCAAAGTATTTTAAGACTTGTGGGCACTATGTGCATTGATCTAATTTTTTTGGGATGTCAATTATTAAATTACAGTGCAAAAATTGAAAATAAGAAATGACATTAATTTATGCAAGGTGTTAGTCACTATTAAATGGGAACACATAAGAAAACCCCCAGATGGATCCATATCAGACCTTGGATGTGATGTGGGTTTTTGAGTTTGTCATTTTGCCGATGCTGGTTCTGTTCCATCACAATCCCATTTCCAGCTTCAGTCTAGCACAGGAAGTTTCCATCAGGGCACTGTGATATTTGTGCCAGTGTAAATATACTCTTAAGTACCTGTGGTGTGGCAACACCTGTAGTGCTTTTACAAAACTTGGTGTTGTTTCGTGGTACTCTCTCCACTTGTGACCACACGTTTGTGTCCGTGCCCCATTCGTGTCGTGTCTGGCAAGGAGGTTTCAGTTTGGAGCTGTGGTTTAGAGATTTCTTTCCAGAAGAACTCCTGGAAATGCTGACATGAGGAGAATCAGCACATGGATGGTTCCCAAAGTGGTGCCTGTCACTGGCTTTGCCACTCCCTGAACAAAAGGATGGCTTGCACAGGGAATACTCTTTTATCATATTTGCTGATAAGAGCAACAAGGCTGACTGTAAGCAGGAGGGCTTCTTTATTTTGCTTCTGAGTATTATTTCTTCAGTTAACTTGAGTTTTTAGTGTACTTTGAAATACTATCAGAATTTTATTAATTTATTGGCCACTGCTGGAATTAAATCCAGGTTGGTTTCAGTGAAGCACTACCTTCACCCTCTGCTATTTTTGGAAGGTCTTGCAAAAATCCTTTGAGACAGGCCAGCTAATACAGGGTAGACTGATGAAAAGCATCTAGTTTATAGCATTTTTCTGAAAATAAAGTAATGAAAAGCTACAGGATGACATCCACTTATTTTGCAGGCCAGTTAAATCAGTATCACGTTCAAAATTCAGAGAAATTGAGCATCATAGTTTTGATTTTAAGCCTTTTGGCTTTGAAATTAAGAAAGATTGCTTTTTCAAAAAGAGTTGAAGAAAACCATCATGAGGAACAGCGGAAGCTTTTTTAAGGGCTTTCCTAAATAAGAGTTATGAGGCAGGGCTGCAAAGCATGAAGTCATTTAAGCCTAAGGAATGTGGGAGTGGGATGTTGCATACAGCAACATCAACATTACCACACCAATTAGACTTAATAAGTTAAACTGGAGTATTTCACAATGTGAGTCCAACCCAGCCTCTTTTTAAGTGAGCTCAAGTGGTTGTCATTGTTTTCAACAAGCAAGGGTACAAGGCTGCACTGCAGTACTGATTTCAGGGTATGTAGCTGTTTCAAGTGTATATAGCTGAACCTCAGTGCATGCAAATGTCTGAAAAAGCTGTGAGATTTCAGGGATATCTCAGTGATCTGTAACTGGACAGGCACTAAATGCCAAGGGTGAACAACTGGAGACTGAAAAGCTTTAGGGCTGGTTTTTGTGTGGGCTTCTGCTTCTGAAAACCAGTTGGGTTGTTTGTGAACACATCACTTGTAGGTAATTGCAGCATGCAGGCCTTGATTTTTCAAGGAGCTGTGCCTGTTTTGGTATTATTCAACACTTATATCTTATGAAAAGAAATTACATCATCCTCCTAAAGTGCATTATAACAACAATGTGACATGCTATGGAGTTGCCAACCATGAAGTGATTTGAGAAATGCTGGTTTGTGCAAAGGAGGAAGTACTGATAATTCTGGGAATTTGCAATAATAGTTATGCACAATTTTAATAAGTGTTCTAAGCAACTATCATCTGCTTTCTGTGACTACCAGCTAGACTACAGTTTAATTTTGTTGAGATTAACAAAAAACATCTCATTATGAAAGCTAGAATTATTGACAGTTACCAGAGCTAACTGGTCAAATGACACCTGGGCTGTCAAATGGCAAGGGGAGCCTTGAGCACTGATGTGGGATGAGAACCTGCTGTTAGCCTGGCACTGGGAGCCAGGGGTTGCCAAAATCCTGGGGGCTACTGGTTATATGAGAAGCAGTCAGAGCCTGCATCAGATGTAATAAAAAGTAAGGGGTCTACGGACAGTTTTCTCCACTGCCTCCAGATCTGATATCAGAACCTGGCCCAAAAAAAGGCACCATTTGGACAAGAAATCAAAGGTCATTCTCATTGCTGGCAGTTTCATGGGTTCTGAGAAAACGAGCTCTTTTTTTTCCTCTGAAAAACTTCCTGCCAGCCTTGAAAACAGACATCAAAGGGACTGTTCTTTATGTACCTGATGTCTCTTCTTTAAGTAATAATTCTCTATTTGCTTTGAAATAGAAAATTTACCAGATGGCATAGGCTACTTCTTTTTCTTTCTTTCTTTAATTTGCATTTTGTAACATAAAATAAAGGCAATATGGGAGATAAAGGCCTTTATAGTTTTTTAGTATAACACTGCTTTGAAAAGAACTGGAAGTGCATTCACTGGCATGAAATCTTAAATACAGTAAAAATGTCACTTCAGGATTCTTTGGTTTGGCCTTTAGAAGTTTTCTCTGCTTTTCTTCCTTTATACCAGAAAGATTTCGTATTGAAGCTTTTCTCTTATCGTGCAGCAAAACACTACAGACAATAGATATTTAATAATCTAGATTATTACTTCTTATGCACTGTGTACATGGGTGCCTTTTAATTTGCTTGCTGCACTCTGAGTCTGTATGATATGAGGCAGATATTTACTGGGCACACATTTTAATGCAATTGAAATTAAATTGTTCAAGTGATAGAACTGTCTTCAGACAAGCACAGAATCCACAGACAGAGAGTGAGATAGGTATGTGTTTTCAAAATTTGCACAATCCTCCTCTCCATTGTGCAAGTGCTGGTTACAGGGAGTTCTGGGTCTCAGAAGCAATTACAGCCCTCCCCATCTGCAAGGAGCACTTGCAAGATTGTCACTGACAAAGGCCAAAAAGCTGTGGCATGTTTGGTATCCCATTATAAGATAAACTTATTTCTTTCATTAGTTATTAATTCGCCCTACCCTATTCATAAAGTTCATCAATGAATATCAGGACAGTGAGCAGCAGGGGAGTGGCCATCTCAGTTACTGAACTGGGAGAGGGAAAAATCCCTGAGTTCTGCCTTTCTGTGCCATAAATGTTCATATGTCTCAAACTGATGCAATACATACATCTAGAGAATTGATAAGGAGCGATAACATATCTCAAGAAATTATTACTTTGTAAGGAAAATGAGGGTCTCATTTTATTACGGGGCTCCCTGAAAAGCAGAAGCATTCTTCCACAATCAGCCAGGTGGGTGTGTAAATACCAGAATCTCTGTCTACCTCTATTTTCAGTTGATTTGCAGAGACACTCTGGTCCCTAATTATGTCTGGTGATTCATCTCCTCCCTCAGCCCCAGCAAGGAACATTTTCTGGTTCTCAGGCTGGGGTCTGTGCCCTGACAATGCTCTCATTGTGCAAGGGGTGAGACCCAACCTGCACCACCCCCCTCACCCTGCAGTCAGCTGGGACAGGGAGCTGTGTGGGACACCACCCCTGCCCAGTCCTTCAACCTAAATG